GAGCGACAGGAAACCATCAAATACGGCGACGTTTTCAACGTCTCCGGCGACCTGGCTTCCAACCCCATTGCACCTCAGGATGCTCGCATGATGGGCAGTGCCGAAACCAGAGTTCTGGGGGAAGTGCCACGCGCCGGTCCGGCCGATGTCATGCGAGCCGCCGCCGCCCATAATGTCCGAACCGGTATTCTCAGCAGCCGTGATGTTAGCGACGCAGCAAAATACCAGGGTATTAACATCAGCGAGACCGACGTCCCCGGAGCCCGCGTCGTTACCGAATACGTCGCCGGACAGGTCCCTTATCTTTAATTTCTCCCATCAATTCATCTCTTTTAAGGTCTTATCTACTTTGAAAATACAGAAACGAGCTTAAAGTTTAGGATCAGATTTATAATTGGACCTTTTTTYCTTCCAAGAATTATTCTTTTGTTCGTGGGATGGTTTTTTCCTCTGTTGTAGGTGGTGGGACAGTATATGGATACCACGGCGGCGAGTGGGGCAGTGTCGACGGCGCAGAACGTAATAACGATCGGAGAAGSACTAGAAGCGGCGGGTGAAGCTGCAGGAAACAAGCCGGTGGAACAGAGYGACGCAGCAGCAATTCAAGCCGCAGAGGTAAGAGCAACCGGCAGCAATATCATAGCCCCTGGCGGGCTCGCCGCCATGGCTCAGTCGGCGGCGGCTTTGAACGCCGGATTCGAACGAGACGAGGACAAGATCCAGCTTAGCCGTATCCTAACGGTATCCATAAATTTCACTATATAGCATAAATAAGTTGTTACATAGTATGATTTAAATTTAAATGTTTGTTAGTGTTGTACATTATATTTGACTTCTATTTTATTGGGGTTATATTATTTTATCAAAATACATAAATTTGTGATACGACAGGGTGCAACTGGAAAGCTGGCGTCGGACAAGCCGGTGGGCCGGGAGGATGCGGAAGGGGTGGTGACGGCGGAGCTGAGGAACAGTTCGAACCTGACGACACACCCCGGTGGGGTGGCGGCCTCCATCGCCGCGGCCGCCAGGCTGAACGAGGGCAGTAATGCATGAAAAATTGAACAGCAGTGAGGACCCAAAGTATGATTGTAGAGTTTTTTATTTCTCGAAGTGTGTATTGTTATGGTTTGATCGGAAGTGTAGGAATTAAGTTTTCTGAAACCGTTATTGGTGTCCTAAAACTCTGTAAATTCTGGTTTCAGAATCTGTCGAGTGTTCACTGTTGAGTCAGGTTTCTGTGCAGGTTGTATTTTGAATTTGCTGTTTGATTCTGGTTGGTTTCTTTAATTATTTTTATTTGAAAATTACAATCTTCCTTAACTTGTAGAAGGAGGTCAGCAGTGCACCACCTATMTTGGGGTCGATCGTTGAAAATAAAATGGATAAAAAGTTTTGGATATGGTGTTCGACTTCAAATTAAAAAATGATGTTCAAACTTCAATTTTAAGTTAGTCTATGCTCCTCTCTAAGCTACTTAAAAAGCCATGTTTCCTTCAGGATATGTGTTTAACTTGCTCATTCGTGGTTTATTTATTTCATGGCTTGGACTTTGGAGACGGTAAAAATGTCCGATTTAGTCATCAAATCAGATAACTTAATTTAGTCTCTGGGTTCATTCATGTTTTTTTCCCTTAATATGACATGTACGTTCAATTTACCACCTCTGCTGGTATGTTGATTGATGATTTAATTTAATCATATTTATAAATAATGATTTAAACATATTTAAAATAACATAGAAAGAAAATAAATATTTTTTGTAAATTTTCAAATCTACAAATGGCTGATAAATTTGTTGCTGGTAGGGTGGACCGTTTTYCAAAATTCTTTTAACTACAATGTTTCGAGTAGCCATTGCCAAATAAACATCATTGAAAGAGGAGAAATTTTTACTGTTGGACTATGTYAAGGTTAGTCAATATAGAGAATATTCAAACATATATGTTGTTTATAGTAGGAATYTTACTCTTGGATTGTATTGAGGTTGGTTAATGCTGAGAAGATTCAAACATATATGTTTGTTTGTAGTTGTAAAAATACCGTATAACATCATTGGTTAGTTGTAAAAATTCCGTATAATATCATTAGTGCTCAATTAATTGAGGTATCTATCTTCGATCAAATGGTCGTGAGGTTGAATATCTACCTTGAACTTAATTCAATTAGTTTAGGCACTCATCTATTTTTGATCAAGATGGTCGTAATTTGGTCATGAGTTCGAATCTTCACTTACATGTTGTTGTATTAAAAAAAATATAAAATCATTGAGCTATCTCCAACCAAATGGTCTTTGAGTTCGAATCTCAAAAACYCACCAATATTTTGGTCGGAGTTCGAATCTCCACTTGTTTGTTCTATCAAAAAAAGGAAAAAACCAGCAGTGTTTTCTTTTGGTTCAAATTTAAACTATGTCCTAAAACTTGGTTTTAACTCTTGTAACTTCATGTGTTTTTAGGACGTCTGTTACTTTCCCATTAGCATCAGTAACGGTTGATTTAAATCAGCAAATATTGTCTTCTTGTGTTTTTGGRAATACTATTTTACCATTCAGTAACAGTAACGTTCCATTAATCAACAAATAGACAATAACAAAACTTTTGGTTAAATTTCCTTAAAAGAACAAACTTCTATTAATTAAATTACCCAGCCCATTCATCCCTATAATTTTAAATTAGTCTTGAAAAAGATTATATCGATATGATTTACGTTTTTCAGTTAAAGGTTGGAGATTTAAATCTTGTACCTTTTAGTCAAATATATATGTTTCAACTATATTCAAATGGCAAATTAATGGTAGGTTGAAAGTTTTTAACCGGTTGAGTGAACAATTGACATCTCTATCTCTTCTATACTAGAGTCAATTTGATTCATCTGTGAACCGATTTATGATGTAATACTAAGAAAAATGGATGAATATTTGTAAAATTTAAATAGGTTTTGAYTTAAATAGATAATTCAACCCAAGACTTTTAAAGACCGAAAAAAGTGGATTATCCAGAAAAAGTTTCATCATATATGGAAAACATTTATTTCCATTTTTGCGTGTTCCCCGACGAAAAGTTTTATTTCTTTCTCTGGTCTGGTTGACCTTCCTGTGGGGCCCACCCTCCATTTTCCCTTCATATAACCCCCACTCTCTCTCTCTCTTCTTCCACTTTCCTCTCTCTCTCTCTCTCAAAATGTCCACCGTCAAGAAAAATAGCTTCCACCTCTGGTTT